ACGTCCCCTTCTGGGTGGTGTCAGAAATTAAACTCAGCCCCTCGTTGGACTTCTCCATATGAGGGGAAATCCATTCACATCAAACATTCCTGAGACTGAGCACAGTGTCATGCACCTATAATCCTAGATGCTCTGGAGGCTGAGGAAAGAGGATCTCGAGTTCAAAGCCAGCCTCAGCAACTGGGAGGCGCTAAGCAACTCAGTGAGTCCCTGTCCCTAAATGAAATCCAAAACAGGGCTAGGGATGTGGTCAGTGGAAACCCCTGAGTTCAATCCCTGGTACCAAAATAAATAAATAATTAAAAATTTAAATAATTTTTAAAAAATTCCTGCGAAGAGTCCATCTACTGAAGACTCGGTTCAACAGGGAGATGGAGGAGAAATTTACAGCACAGAAATGGCAGCGTCTGCAGAATACGCGTCGCTCTTTAAAACGTCTGGAGATACCCCACACTCCACTCCTGGGGGCATACATCCTCATTCTCTCTTCTCATTCCCCTTTCTCCCAGTTCTATCAGCATCTCACTTTCAGCTGTCAGTCTTTTTTGGCTGACCAATCAGAGACTCAGAAATAGGTCCGTAACGGAGTCTGGCCAATGAGCGCTCTGGAGGGTGGCGCCCTTTCTGGTCCGTGAGTTCCCAGCGGTTCAGCCTAGGGATGCGAACTTCGGCCTTTGACGTGGGCAGCTGGGGGTGCTTTAAACGGAAAGGAAAGACAGTCCAGCCAAGAGCGCTGGACCTGCATATCCAGGCCAGCTGTGCGGGTAGTGATGACAATCTCGGGACCTTCCTGCCTCTCAATTTTTTTCATTTTTATTGAGACATTACTCACACGCCACCAATTCGCCCTTCTAAAGTGTTCAGTTCAGTGGCTTCTTTTGCATATTTGTGAAGAAGAACATCTTAATCTCCTAAAAAAGATCCCATGCTGACCTGTCCCTCCTGTTGTCCCTCCCCCACCCCTTCCAGGTCGGGGCACCGGTCGGCTTTACCTCTCCCTGGCCTGTCTCCTCTGCTGTTTGCTCTCGGTGGACTCATCCATTACCTGACCTTTCGTGTCTGGTTTCTTTCACGTTGAAACGTTTTTAAGTTTCCTCCCGTTGCAGCATGAGCCAGGACTAGATTCTTGATTTATGACTGAATAAGATTTCTTTGTGTAACCAGACTTTGTTTTCTTCAATCGCCCAGCATGGACGGTTGAGGGGCTTTCACTAATCAGCTGG